AGTTGACGGCCCCCCGAGCGCTTTTCAAGGGCCAGGCGCGGGCGGTGTTGGATGCGGTGCGAGGGGGCCCAGAAAAGATGGAGTGGGCCGCCGCAAAAAACGCACGTAGGTTTCGACGTCCCGGTCGACCTCCATGAGGTATTGCGGAGCTCGGTTCTGCGCTCCCTGCTGAATCGAGCGCTCCCGACGTCGGACGATGCCGCGCGTTCGGAATGACTGCTCGATCGTTTCATGGAGAACCCGATCAAAGACTTGTGGGAGACGATATGGATAATTAATGTTAAGAAGACCATGAACATATTCAAACTGGCGGATGTCCTGAGGGAGTTCACTTGAAAGAAACCACCAATCGCTTCCTTTTGTGTACTAATAAACGTGAGTAGTACCGCACAACAATAGGATGAGCAATACAGTGAAAACCAATGACCCATTGAATATATTTCGGTTCAAATTTCTCATGAATCTGTTTATTCATCTGTTATGATAGGGTTTCAGACGTTTGTGTCATTCTACTCATAGATGAATGAGTTTTAGCCCACCGGAGTTTCCGGATGAGAAACACTGGATCTCCATATTTAATTTGCACATGCTAGAACGGGACTTGTCGCACAGATTTACACATTTTCACTAAACTGTCAACTGCTTTATTTTACCGACCGAACACAGAAGTAATTGAGTAATGACTACCCACCACTCCTGACTGCAGGCAACAGACCACGAAATATCGTTATTGATTCAGTATTAGTAAATCAATGGCTGCTTTCGTGGCTATATGGGACAGAAATCGTGCCATAATGAAAACAGGATAGAATTGGCGATGTTCATACATCGCTGTCTACTCAACACTGCACTAATCTGAAGAGACAAACGAACAAGAAATACTCAGGTTAGGTGCACACCTTTTGGTGATCGCGGTTGCCCAGTGTTGTCGACCTCCATAGATGAACGGTAGCGGTCCGGTGGTAACGTCATCAAATTATCACCCCGGGGGAAGTGTATTTAAATCCCACCACCACCGCCTGACTTCCCCCATTGGATGCTGTATGGAAGCCCTTTGATTGGTCGCTTTCCCCTTCCTGAAAACTGTATCATATTTTATTTAGTGAAAAAAATTGTGTTATGCTCTCCGGTTGAGGACCTCGGGAGCATTGTAATCAATAATTGGACACACTGAGTGTCGTGAATAATGGCGCTTATGAATCTACTCATTATTCTTGTAACGCCAGTCTATATGAATTCTGTATCTTCGTTTTGACTCTGCTCTCACCATTCCAATCTTCATTTTGCTGATTTATCTAAATGGGCAGCCAAAAGACAACCAAAACCAGCGCATGAAAGTGCATGGGTAATGGTTGTAAAAACTGAAACTGAGTCGTAAAAATTACATAACTCCTTATTATACTATGATACACGTATGAAACGAATGGTAGTTACTCACGACTGAAGATAGAAGGCGAGAAAGCAAGCGCAACAAGCAGAAGTTTCGATTCTAATTGACGTTCACTATAGACAAGCTGAAGTTTGAAACAGTTAACACTCAAACAGACAACAGTGAGTCATATTTTTAAATGCCCCACGTCGCAATAGCACCAACCCGAGCAATAAAGAAAGAGACGAAATTGTCACACTTGTACTTCGAAGTCGTAGAACCTGAGAGAACCACCGTGTTGGCCTCCGTTGTAGAAGCTATAACAGCTTCACGAAATCGTAACGCAGTCGTCTACAAGTTTTTCTGGGCTACGTATGCATCATATTTGATACATGATAAATATTTCTTCAATTCCTAAATCATTATCGAGCAAGTGGGAATACTTAATACCACAAGTTTGGTAGAACAACAGAGCTTGTTTCGAATTCAAGACTCGATTGATTCTCACTTAAGCAAATGGACTACTTCCAGTCGTGGTTAATAATCGGCAACTTCAGAATTTAGTCTTTCATCCCGGTCGATTGGAACACCATCCACAAGTGATGCGCACAACTCGTCCCGATGTGTAGCTTGATCTACTAATCGTTTGCAATCGGGAAATGGATACTCGTGTGCTGAACTGACTCTTCCACGCAACTGGGTCCTATTCACCGCAGAATTGGTGGCGTTTCTTTCTCTTACTCAAGCTTTGGGTCAATCGGAATCAGAAAGAGCACTGAAATTTGTTCATTTGAACCGCGGAATGTAGGTGTGCGTGCATATCTACGATGACAGTGATAGACGAACAGTATGCAGACGACCTACCAATGCACACAGTAGCAACTTTGGGAACAAGGGCAATCGTGCGAGAAGCGACGACCAGGCGATTATCAAAACGTATTACTGAACACTGTCCCGCGGCCCTCTACAAAGGAACGATTAGATCCATTCGCAGCTCGGTCATCTCATCGATAGTGGGCATTTTGTGAACAAAGTGAATGCATTCAAAATTATTCACACTATACCTTGGAGATATTGCAAAGAGATAAGAAGGCGACTTTTAATCACGGCCGAGGCGATTGCAATTCGAATTTTCAGTCCAGAATTATGTAAGCAAAAAAAGCTGGTCCAGACACTGTTGTTGCCCTGGCCTGGACAGCGGATTGATTGTGCATAAAACAGAGTATCACCCCCCCCCTTGTCCCCGTCCCTCTTTCCTCGTCTGTAGTATCACCAATCTCAATCTTAAGAACTAATTATCTTGTTTTTGTCTCTAATGTCCGTTTCTGATCACACCACTTGCTATGCATGACCTATAGTTTCTACCGCATATTACGTAACTTTATCCCGCTCTCTCGTCTTAGCTCACAACCTTCATTTAATCTGCTCATCTCTGGAACGTTTGTCCATTTGACCTTTGTGTTCTCACTCCCACCCACGACTATCATTAGCCTTGTCATATTCTTTTGATCTGTTTGCTCGCCTCTTTCATCGTTACTAATTGAGCTCTAATCGGCCAATCAGACATCTGTATTATGATCACCTTATACATGTAAACGCCTGATACGATATATCGAAAAGAAATTTCTTCGCGAATACCGTTTCCTACTTTGAAAGATATCAGCTCCCATACAATCGGATATTATTTCACTTCATACCGATGACGGTTCTGGCCAAACCACACAGATCCACTCCATTTTTACGAAAGATAATAACCTGACAATCTTCCGGGAACATTCGCATCCCGTACGGTCTTAAAAATAATATGATTGCAAAGGTCTACATCCTGAACCAGCTTTCTTAATGGTTCATCCTTCGAATGAATTCGAAACAATTCGTTCCCCAGCGTGAGTACCGTTTGAAGGTGCGTTTAGTTTCTCACGGATCAAGTTTCAAGATTGTGTTGAGTTGTTTTACACTACGGTCCTGCTTCAAATTCAGCAGTATCCGAAAGATTGGAAAAAATTCTCCTGGAACTACACTAGCGATGTATGCAATATGCCATAAAAAAACCCATTGTGCATCACAGTCTGATCGATCCACCCTATGTATTCTGTTTTGTCCGTGAACTAGAACATCATGAAAGATTTCATTCAAATCGAAATGCTCTGGCATGCTAAAGCTCTGGAGACTTTGGGCGACGCGTTCAACGCCATGGAGAATCTGCACGAGGAGACCGACTTGTTGGAATTCCGTTCCACATTAATGCGAACTGGACAATCTACTGTGTCGTTAAATCAGTCGGTCAACCGAAACTCTGCATCAAATGTTCAAACAGTTCCCAAAGAAACACATTCCGTGCGAGGCAATGCACCAAGTGGCGCCCGCAACGGACAAACATCTGTTCAAAATTCCGGTGACCGACGACAAGGAAATCAGGTGAGTCAGCGAACGTAGAATCACATATGTTTACAGATCCTATTTGTAACCATATTGATCAAAACAGGTCATCGTTTTGTGTTCTGGTCATCAACTATTCCAAAGCAAGTGTAGAACTACAAGAGTAGTGGATTTTTTAAAATTTAGATTGCACAATAAATTTAGTGGAATACAATGTAAAGCAAACGTGATTTGGAAGATGGGAACCATGGTAAAGCTGTTTCATCTTGGTTGGATCTAATTAGCAGTGTGAATCTACTGGCCTGAATGAGGATCGAATCCGTGACCCCACATTCACGTTCATCACAGAATACGTAGAATCATGGGGCTATTGGAAAGTGGTAATTGCATTTCTCAAGCCGGTCAGCTAAGTCGGGATTTTTCTCAAACTCATGTTTGGCCACCTGTCGTGATTCTCTTATCATTTTCTACCAGTTACTTATTCGCATTTCTTGGAATTAAGCTCAGCTGAAGTATTGAAAATTGGTTCCCGTAGCTCGGATGAACTGAATTCCATTTGGCCTGTTCGCCGAGCTTGGCAACTTGTTTGCAAACGTTTCATTACCAGCCGAGGGGACATCATCAGTGCTTGTGAAGTGGCCACTTCACTTTGTCATGGATCTAAGTCTTGAAACAGCCCGATCCTCGTGCGAGGATAGCGGCATCGATTTGCTCCCGGGTGTGCAGACTGTCTGACCTGCAGTATGCAGACGACATTGTGCTAATAAGTGAAGATCCAGGTAAGTTGCAAGCTTTTCTGGATACTTTGAGTGCTTGTGTATCCATGTTTGGTATGCGTTTTGCACCTTCAATGTGTAAAATGCCGCTCCAAGATTGGGTTAGTTCAGCCCCCAACCTCATCATAACCGGTTAAGTAGTAGAGGAAGTAAACAAATTTTTCTATCTGGGTAGCTATATCTCATCTGGTGGACTCGTCAAAGCGTCGGCGCGCATACGGAAGGCTCGGTTGGCATTTGCCAATTTGAGACATCTGTGGCGCCGTCACGACATCCGGCTGTCCGCGAAGAGTCGAGTGTATGCTGCGGCAGTCCGGCCAATTCTGCTTTATGTTGCAGTGACTTGGTCATTAGGGGAACAGGATGGAAATAGATTGTCGGTGTTCGAACACCGCTGTCTACGTCACATTGCNGTGTTCAGTTTCATCCATGGTTGGAAGCAGAGTTTTAGTTGATCGCGGTCGTACTCCGGAGCAAGTGGTTACCTCCATAGAACACATTAGACTGGGTATGTGTTACGCCACTGCGACAGCTCGCGATCTTTGCCGAGGCAGGTGGAAAAAAGTTAAAGGAGGGAGTGAAAGCCCTGACCAGAAAAATTGCTCACAGATCGCTTTAGGCTCCCTAGATGGGGACCTTAAGATCATTCTGATCAGTGGTTAAAGACCCAGAATCATATGGCTGAATTTCGTCTATCTTATACATCTCTTTGTAAACTTAGACTACAGGAATTCTTCATTTTTTTCTTCGAAATTGCTTTTAACTTTCCAATCTTCCTTTTACGCCTTCATTCGAATGGGCAACCAGAAGAACGGAACTGAAAGCGCATGGTTAATGGCTGTCCAAACAAACACGGTTTTAAGTCCTTCATCAATTGTTAATCTTGTTATCAACTCATTCACAGAATGGTAAAAAACGTAACATGGGATGGGTTTATCCTAGGCGAAGAGTGTGTGTTCTATCCGTGTGTCAGTTATCGTCTCCATCAAGAAGTCTGAGATTTTATTCTCCGTCAGTTCAGTCGAAGGATTACATGGGAGAGTGTGCAATCAGCCGACGCAGCTCATAGTCTGTTTTTCCTCTTCAATAGTTTAATAAGCTAAAATCGGGAATTGGAAGTCAGACAACTTGTTCGGTCAATATATCCGTTAAAGAAGATCAGTTAATAAGCTAAGACTATGAAGCTCGGAGAAACTCAGTTAATGTTGAAATAGACACTGGTCTCAAATTGTAGTGCGGTCGTTTTGGCTGCTATTTTTTGGTCAGATAATGAACGAACGTAAGAGTTCAAATCAAGTAAACTATAGTACGATCTATAACCTTCGATTGATCAATCGCGCTTTCAGTGCAGGCGCAAAATTTCAATGCACTTAAACTACCCCCATCTACCTATTGCATGCAATCAGACGCGGCACTTATATGTACTGATCAATCATATTTACGTGAACTGGCAGAGTTGGTGAATCAACTGCTGGTTATTTGTGCGGATGTTTGTGGTGTACGGTGCTAAGCGATCGTGATTGGTAGTGGTGTGTTTGATGTGCATTAAAATGTTTCTCGCGCAGAGCAGCCGATACAGAAAACGCGATAGCCCGACCATCATCTAGGGAGTTAACTGTGGATCGGGTTGGAGTGACTGGATGTACGAACGCCACTGTTTACGGTGTAAAGTTCCATTTGCAATGATTCAGCAGTGAGAAGATGGAAAGAGTCAGTCGTGCACAGTTTTATCGATAGTACTTCAATTCAGCAACTACTACCCATGCACCTGTTTTGATTGCTGTCTTGACCGCTCATTTGGATAAAACAGCAGAATGAAGATTGGAATGTTGAGAGCAGACTCAAAATCAAGATAGGGAATTCATATAGATTGGGGTTGCAACAATAATGAGTAGATGCACAAGCGCCCCTATCTGCGGCNTCTGCGGCACCCAACCAAATCACTGTCCCTAACCGCCGGTTACCATGGTCCCGAGTCCCCATCCAGATTGCTTGATGGCACCAATGTGACCCGTAAGGGTTTTCAGATCATGTCTTAGTTTGACCGCCTTTTGACCTTTTTCCATCTTCTAAATCGCTGTGGCAATCTATTTGTCGCATGCGCAGCACATGTCCCAACCAGCGTAATCTATGGAGGTCGACCACTTGATCCATTGGACGCCCCCAACCACCTAAAACTACGCCTAACTTCAGCATTGCTCCGCCAGACCCGTGAAATGCATACACTCGATCTTTCACAGCCAGCCAGATGTCTCAAGTTGACAAATACCAACCGAGCGTTCTGTATGCGTCTTGACACTTCATCTGTGACGAGTGTCACCTTTTGTCAGTAAGTGACTTGCTCAAGTGATGGAGAAAAAGTAACTGGGTTATTTGGAATAAGACCAATCGCAACCTTAGTCGAATTTATCTGCTTATCTTAGTGTTAACAAGTGACGAACCCTAACACTTCGTCTTTTCTCTTCTTTCCCTTTTGAGCAGCACACAGAAGATGCTGTCAGCCTGTTCACTGAGGGTGATGATGAAGATGATCTGAGTGAGGAAGAGGAAGTGGCCACTGCTGCGTCAGCAGTGACTGTTTCGCGAACCGCTAAACGGACAAGCTTAAAAACCGATGTTCTTCAAGATCTGGATGATGAGGAGGAGGATGATGACGACGAGGATGAGGACGACGACGAGGAGGAGGATGAAGTCGATGACGACGAAGAGGATGATGACGATGAGGAGAGTGAACGAACGCAAACCATGCCAACCAATGGGTCACGTGTTCGGATGAATCACGGGGGATCTGTTAGTAAATTGACCCCGGTTATATCAGCACAGTCTCCACTTAAATCTGCATTGAAAACGGGCAGCATGATCAAATAATTCCATTTGTCTCTTTCCATATTAATTTTGCTTGGAGAAAACCCAAATCCGCCCTCTTGACGCATTCTGTTCACCTGCGTATTTCTCGCGATTTAATTGAATTGTTAGGATTATGGGTCATTGTGATTTTTCATCTTTTTGGGTCGAACTAGAATACGTTCTACTTATGTCTTAGCTTCCAACAAATCCTCACTCCCCTCCCCTCCGTCATCCAGTTCACATGTACTTCTACGCGCCTTAGGTCATCCATATAAGAATAAGGACAAACCAGGCATCCTGTCCGGAACAGTTTGTGATATGATTTCCCTCTCTATCTCACTCTCGAGGTCTATTGTCCTTTTCAACATTTTTCATCGTGCGGATTCTTGTAAATAAAAACGACATTTATTATGCATTCTCAACGACAATGCAGACAGGAGAACTCGTTTGGGACTCGAATGAGATTTACAATTGGGTGCAATTCGAAATTCCACACGTTTGATCACTTGCTAGTGCCCCTTTCAAACAATCACCTTTTTCTTCCGTAACGCGTACTTGGGAGTCATTCGTTTCTACGCTACGAGAAGTATGCGCATATGGACAACAATCTCATTAGATTCATATCTGCAGCATTATTTTACGAAGTAGCAAACCCATCAGGGCTTCGCTGTCAATTGAGTCGAATGATCCTTTGGGGTCCAGGAGCACTGCGTCTGTTGGTTGACGCTGTGTGTGCTGTAATCCAAGGATTTGATGCAAGGCACAGATTTGGTCGATGCAACCGAAACTTCTTGGGTATCCTGCTTGCTGTTCGCGAATATTCATCTCAATTTAGGGCATCAAGTGGCGAGGCATCACAGAGGTTAACACATTTGTGGTGAGTTTGAAAATAGGAGACAGTATAGCAACATTGCACGATTTATGTCCAGGACGATTTTGCTGCATTCCAACTGGCGCCCACTGCAGACAAATACAATGTTTATATAGGGTTTGGGATTAGATTGCAAAATAAACAATTGTAAATGGGGGAAACGTCGCCAAGGTGATGAACGAGTCCTTTTGTTGACGTAGAATTGGTTTCCATCGGTTAATTGTAATCGCCTTGGCGATCTTGAGCAATCTGGTGTTATCATTAGTAAAAATTATTCGAAACGCTTTCTTGCGATCCACGAAGTGCTACGCCATCAACGAGCGCTTCGTGTTTTGTAAGCAAGGTCCTTATCGGTTACCGACTGCGTGGACACTGACATGGCTACCTTCTTTTGAACCCAGTTCGGAATGTGTTCTAAAACCCGATTACTTAATTGCTTTTCTGTTCTACCTGTATAAGTGTCTCTGCACCCGNGACCGGAACTCAGCGGATTCCATGGTGGTTTATGCAGTCACTGCGTGATCCGTCATACAGGACGATCAACAATTCTTCCCAGGATAAAGGTATACTCTCTTCGGAAAAAGAAATGCTATGTAGTAAACTACTAATAATGTCGACGAGTGTCATACCACCGCCTAAAAAGAATGAGAAGACCTTCCACTTCATTAGCGATGGAATACAACCTCCTACTT